ACCCCAATTTTTTTTCTTAAACTACGCTTACAAAGAATTGCACGGGAAAAATATGAATATTAACCTAATATTTTAAAGAGTCGGCGCTTTTTTGCTATGTAAATCTAAATTAAGGTAAGATTGAACGAACGCGTGGGGCTTAAGGCTATATCGAATAAAAAAAAGGGAACAATGAACTTTTTTAAATTGATTTTTTAAGAGCAAACGACCCTAACCCTCTTATTGTGGTTAAAAAATGTTTTATTTTATTTTTCTGACGTTCTTAAAGCTAATTCACATATAATAATAATAATAATAACAATATAATAATTATAACTATATTATATTATATTGTTCTGTAGACAACGAACAATTTGAACTAAAAATAAATTTTGTATACCCACAAAATAAACAAATAAAAATTCTCCATTAAGCCGTTAAGTTGTGCGAGATCCCATGTCAGAAATTTACCCTGAAGTGATGCTAATAAACGTTTAAGGAAATTGCAATATAATTCATGTAAAGTGCAAAGTCTAACCTACATAATATAAAAATTTCAAACACAAACATTATTTTAAATTTGGTATTGAAAACAAGCAAATTTTACATGTCTTTTATTTTGGACATTCTCTCCTTGTTTTGTCATTTTTTTGAGGAGTTTTTTGAAAATACTTAATGATGAATTATGAATCTCTGCCTTAAATCATCATCTAGGAAATAATAAAAATGGGCCTGCAAAAATGTGAGATCTTTGACGCATTTTCCTTTTCTCTATTTCTCGTATTGTAAGAATATTTTGTAGTTTGGTGATGTTATAAATATTTAAAACCTTTGTTTCAATAATAATTGCACTACCGTAAAACATTTCCACCCCCTGAACTGTGGTACCCTAAGAGTAATTTCTAGTTTTTTGGAAAACTATTTTTAGGTTTTTTTTTCATAATTTCCAATTTTTAAAGATGCATAACAAAGTGTAAACATACGGTGTTTATCGGAAAAGAGGAGTTCGAAATTCAAATTAACAACCATTTTCAAAAAAGGGGGTGATTGAGCGAGCGTACGTATCGCATAGCATTCAAAAAGTAAGACGAATCTTATAATTGGGTCGATCTTCAATATTTTTTTGTTATGTTGGTAGAAAAGTGTAGCATCAAAATTGGTTCCGAAACTGCTTAATTTTGAACAAAAGGACCGTCTAAGGAGAATCGCTCAAGAGCTGTCAAACGAGGTCAATGATGGTCCTGATATGCTCAAAAAGGTCATTACTGGGGACAAGTCATGGGTATATGGTTATGACGTCGAAACCAAAGCCCAATCGTCCCAATGGAAGAACCCAGAATCACCAAGACCGAAAAAAGTTCGATCAACTGTCAAGGTTTTGCTTACTGTCTTCTTTGATTATCGTGGCATAGTATATCAAGCAGTACGAAGAAAACTTCCGGAACATGGGAAGACAATTCGTTGATTTTGCATCACGATAATGCATCTGCTCACTCATCGTCGCTCCTGTTTAACTTTTTGCGACTTTTTCCTGTTCCCAAAACTCAAGAAACCCATGAAAGGAAGGGGGTTTGGGGCAATTGAGAAGATAAAGAAAACATCGCTGGAAGAACTCAAGGCTATACTAGAAAATGCTTACCAGAAGTGCTTCAAGGATTAGCAAAAACGTTGGCACAAGTTTATTATATCTAGGAGGGAATGCTTTGAAGGGGACAACATTAATTTTGATAAATAAATAAACACTTTTTGATAAGCTTAAAAGTCACCTAACTTTGCGAACACACCTCGTAGTTCAGTCAAGCAAGGGCAAAAACTTCCTTAAAGATTTCCAATAACGAAGGTCTAAGATAAAAACTACAACAAGAATATAAAAACTGTAGGCTTACAATAAACATCGAAGAATTAGTCCGCAGCTTAATTCTCTGAGAAAAGAAAAGCATAAAGTATTGGCGGCAGAGATGGACTACTGGATAAGAAGCAAGAGAACATCCAGACTGCACTATGTTGGAAATGGAGCAGTAACAAGGTCTACACCAAAGTAATGTGACAGCGGCGTTACTACAGTCAGTTTATTAGAATAATAAATATAATAATAATTATTCATGACTATTATTATAGACAGGTAGTTGAACTGAGGTGGCTTTTACTCGATGAAAATCCATTTATCAAAATAAATAAGAACTAAAAGTTCAGATTTTCACGAAATTTTAGTTCCTATTTATTTTGATAGACAGGTAGCTTATAAGAACAATAAAAACAATTCGTCGCTGTAGTCCAGCGAAACAAACATTGTCTTCATCTCCATGAAAGTTTTAAGCAATTTATTCTTACCCATGAGTGGAATGAAATCCTCGTCTTTCATTTTAGATATTATTTTGTGCAAGGTACTAAATTTAAACACCAATGCCCAGGTAAGTCAACTACCTGTCCGTTTACCTACCACTCTCAGGGCTATTGGCACTCATGATAAGTTGAAAACTACGCCCGTCGAAAAATTTTAATTGCAGAAATACCGTTCTTGTTTGGTATAATGCTCGGCAGCCAAGGATTCGTATGTGCATTTAAATATTGATGAGCTTGCAATTTTCATTTACGCGTCGGTTGCGCGTCAACAAGCCCAAGAGGATACGCTAAAACCCAATATATGGCGACCGTGTAATTCGAACGAAACAGACATCCACTCGGTCTCGTTAACTAGAAAGAAAATGCAATTTTTTTCGTCTCAACCAATGGAATCGCAATTCTGAAGCGACATTTTCACTTGGCAGGAAATCTGGTTTCTAGTTCGCAGGAAGGAAAGGTTCGGGTTTCCGATTTCTAAAATAATTTGTTTCTATATCAAAATTTTCATTAACAGCCACATAAGTTAGGCCAACCCTAGAATTGAACGAATAAAGCGCGATGGTGGCGACATCTTTGAAAAAGCTTTAGGTGATTGAAGTATTCAGCAAAAAATGTCAAGAAAACTGCTACAAATTCCTAATATTTGGCGCATAAATTTAAACTTTTCCTTCATCCGACAACCCCTGAAATATGGAGAGATCGATTAATTTGTTTTTATATTTTTTTATTTGTTAAAGTATAAATACACTATGTTCTGTCGGTTGTCTATATTATTTAAAATGTCCCCACCACACCATCCAGCTTTCAATTCGTTGATATATTAAAAGCCGGACCTCTGTGCGATCCGTTATGAAATCTATTTTGAGATAACAAATTCAACAAATATATGGCCTTTAATTTTCAACTCCTTGACTGCACGAACCATTCGTTTAGCATTGTAAACATTGCGGTCTTCCATTACAATGTAAACCCATCGGTTAAGGGCCGAAATTCTCAGCATCGATCTTTCAAAATGAGGGGACGATAAGATTGCGTCTGACCCTTTTCAACATTTTGACCCCGAATTGAAACCGAAATCCCCCCCGAATTTAGATACCAGCCCTTAAATGATCCTTTATTTAAAATAAATCTTTAATATACATATCAACTACTCAATGGCAATTGCAATATGCAATATGCAACAATGGAAAACCTTTATTTATATATCTATAAACAATACGAAATAAAACAGTATAAGATAGGAGGGCGGCGAGGTCTAGCAAAGCTACTCACCTACCCACCCTAAATGAAGATATTTTATGAATTAATTTACAACGTTAACCTGATTGTATCACTGTGAAAGAGAGGTTATAAAAATACACATTTTAACAAAAAAAAAAACGCAAATTAATTTTTATAGTTTATCACTTCAGTCGAACCGAGGTGCTGTAAGGAACTGCAGAAAAAGCAAAATAAAAGGGATAAAATTAGTATTAATTGGAGAGTGAACTAGTCGGAAGCTGTCTAACAGCATTTAATATCATCCAGAATGGAGTTGAAATATTTAGTAAGAATCTTTGGTCTAATTTAAACCATGCGGATCAAGTTTTCTGATATTCTTGCAAGAATCGATCATTTTAATCTTCTCATTATTTACGACAACCTTAAAACCGATATTCTTGAACGAGCTAGCGTTATTTTCCAAAAAATAATGCCTTAGTTTTCGTTTCATTAAATGAATGGGCACAAGAAATTTTTGAGATAATTCGCAAATCATTTTGGCTGTCGGCCAGTAGTGAGTTTTCAAACTTAAACGATAAATATAATTAGGGCTCGAAGAGCTCAATATACTTCCCTACCGAACACACGGTGTAATGTAAGAAAATGGTGAAATGGATCGCATAAGGATATTCTATGAGTAGCGTAGTAGTGAGTAGAGTAGTGTAGTAGAGTAGTAGAGTAGTAGTACTATGCATTGCACGAAATCCACACTGTATTGAAAGGATAACTTGGAATTTCAAGGAATATTCATTAAGCTGTTCATATATTATCTTTTCACTAATTTTTGAAAAACGGACGAAAACTTGACAGTTCGCTTGGATTATTATGTTTTGGAATGGGACTCACATTGGCCCCGCTTCCAAAGGTGGGGAAACTTATTGAAAGTTATTCAGCTATTGACCAAAAAAGTTATGCGCCTTAACAACCATTCACATAAAGTAATTTTAAAGTGGGTCAAAATCCACCTGGACCGATTTTAAGCGCTCCCTTTTCGTTTCTCATGGCCACGGTTACTAAATTGCTAAGTTGCTAACTTTTTCATTAATCGAATCGACCATTCCATCAATGCCATCTGATGTTTAAATTTCACCAAAACCGTAATTAAATAGATCATTTAAAAATAAATCATAACTGAAACGTTTAGAATCGCGAAAAGTTTTGTTTTTAATTAATTTATATTCACTGCAGTTATAATGCGACCAAAAATATAGTGCACTTATTACTTTGACGTTGTAAGTATTTTAAAATACCTTTTACGTAGACCTTCGCAGGACGGTGCTAAAACATATTCCGACGGGTGTTTACTCTGCGTTAGGTATGCGATATCAAGAGAAGACGTCACAAGAAAGTCAAGAAGAGTGCTAGCGTTTTCAGAAAAAATGACGTAACTTGGAAAATTCTCCAAGAACAAAGTCTACCTTAAACGGAAAAGTCTGCAGCTGGTTCATTGATCCGGTTTCCGACGAACCGATCTCAGCGCTGACTGCCGGATTATTGGCACCGATACGCCGAATATTCTGGCCCTGTTGCGTTCCAGTGCTCTTTGTCGTCGAGTTTACTAAAACAAATATAAAGTTGCGAGTAAAGCTCTTGACATGCCTTTCGATTGTCTTATTTTAGTTTAGTCGGTCTGTTTGATGAAAGAGAATCGCAACCAAACGATAACCTCTGATATTTCGAATTCGGCATTATTAAAGTATTTTTTTTATCTTCCGATAGCTTTCACTGAATGGGACGTTCGATATTTGAGAGGTTCTCACCCTTACAGGGTCGATTTGATATTTTAACGTCGATATTCAAGTGCACCCCGCACATCAAAACAAAAAAACGGTTTTAACCTGACTCGTTGTGATATTTCCCAAGTAAAGGAAATATATAAGAAAACAAAAATCTCTCGCAATTCTTTAACGACCCGCTAAAGCAGCTGAAATGGACATTTACTTCCGGATACCAGAAAATAATAGAAATTCCTATTTCTGTGCGACGACAATGCACTTGCTAGTTCGTGACCATGAAATATGCAACAGAAGCTTAGAAATTCCGCATCCGAATGAATATTTAGATGCTAATTTAAATTCTTGGTGCACTTAATTTTAAGGATGACAGATCTCTTTGCAATATGTTGTTCTGTCCGGTTCTGATCGTTTTATTTGAAAAATTTACATCTTGCCTTCTTCACGTTGTCGTGTGCGGGCAGTTTCAAGCTGTGAAAAGTATATTCCAGGAAATTTTTACAGAAATTCGATAAAAAACAAGAGGGACTCTTCTACGGGTTTACCTTTTCGTCCAAAGAAGGCTTTAATAACCGTTCTAGCGAAATGACGGTGCTCTTTTCTATGTCCAGGTTCTGCATCTGAAACGTTAAATTATTTCTGTAAAAATTTGGGGGAATATCTTGGACAACGGCAAGCGAGGAGCTCGACTATTGACGTTTTGCCTCGACTTCAATGAAAATCTTACCGTGTATAGCGGTCTGTTCCAGTTTCCTGGACCGACAGCAGTTGCAATCGCTGAGGCGCTTAAAGTCGATGACGTAGCTGCCGTAAACCATCGGGTTCATGCAGCTGTTGGACACCACCATCATAAAGAAAAAGTCCTGCAACCAGTCCGGCAGGTTTTGTGCCGTTTTCCTGTCGAACATGTACCTGAAATTGGGTCATTTCGTTTTTTTCCCAGCAAGTCAACATTTCCCGATACAGATACCTCGTTATGACAAATAAAGCGGGCGAAAATATAAAAGGTATGCCAAAATTACGAAGGCAAATGTTTGTTTAACTTTTGTTAATTTACACGCGTATACGAAACGTATTTAATAAAATTTCATTCTGCTATCGAATCGAAAATTGGGCGAAAAAAAATGTGTTTAACGTCAACCCCCGAGGGAACAACGTCGCTTTCGAAAAATCGTCACTAGGCGGGGCAAGTTTTTTTTTATTTCCAAAATAAGTCGCATCGCCGTTTCTTGTCTTTCTTGTAATTTTATTTATATATGTATGAAGTGTTTTTCATGTCCCGTCGAACTTCAAACTTACGGCAAATTTTGGTAAATTTTACTTTTCAAATACCTGGCTCACCCTGTATGGTAGACGAAACTTGAAACTCTCTCCCGGCACTGTCTAAACCAAATTATCCCATGTTTTATACTTTGTCATTTGCGGCTAATAATTTACCCATGAAAACGGCAATTTTCTGGATCTTTTTTTTTTTTTGATAAATAATCGACACATTTCGTTCATAATCCAAAAAAAAAATCCAAGTAAAAGTTTCGAACGGTTCCCGGTATATAAATTATTTCAAGAGGATAAATGGTTTTCGAGTAAATACCTCTTTTCCGAAAGCATACAGTACACGGTTATTTATTATTATTATTTAATTTCGCTCATAACTAAAACACCTTGTATATAATCGAAAAAACCGAAAATTATGGTTGTAAAATTTTTCCGATAGGTTGAATGGTTTTGGAGGAACAGATGTTTTTCTGGATGCCAAAATAACCGCAAAAAAAATCAAATATTTTCAAAAAGTACTTCGCGTTATTTCATTACCCCCAATTTAAAGAGTATAAATGTGGATCAGGCTTCTTTTTCCCTGCCAAGTCTGAAGTCGGTCGCCGCAAATTTGGGATACTTATTACGATTTTGAATATTTCACGGAATGTCGCGAACACCCTGTACAATAGTTAAAAACGTTAAATAAAAAAGTTTTAGCTGTCTATACGAGCCATATTTTCACGTTAGAGAAACTGACATCTAAAACACAGATTGTAAATTATTGCCAATTTTGAATAATAGGAGAACCTATTTGTAAGTTATTTTTAATTTTCGCACCCTGTATATTTTTGAAAAATTATCAATAATAAATGTGTATGGAGCCGTACCTTCTGCGTTTTCTGGTTCAAAAGTTTTCCCGGTCTTGCAAACGGTTTTTGAAAAATGGTGTTTTTTGCAGACCTTTGGAAACACGATATTTAATTTTTTTTAATACTTCCCGACCTGACCCCTTCCTGGCCCCAATAGGCTCCGTCACGGGCCAAAGCTGCATATATGCATCGAATATGAAGTCGATTGCTGCAAATTTCGGACACCTATCTTGTTTCATAGCAATGTCCCAAAAACGGTCGAAAATCGCGAAAAAAAGGAGGCAAATTTCAACAAACAGACAAAAAAACATTTTTTTTTCGACGCTGATCGTTTCTGTACCACGGTCCCCTAGGACCATCACCGAGATACAAAATTCGATTTCATCGATTTTCTAAGATAACGAGGGGATCATGTCGGAAAGCAGTTGCGTACGTACCACAGGGTCATAATCACGTATGGCGTGCAGCAGAAGATGTAAATGGCGACGATGGTTATGGTCATCCTGAGGGTGCGGATCCTTGCCCTTTGGATGTTGCTCGTGTCGGACCTCCGCAGGCGGAGACGACCGTTCGGTGCTTTTTTCGATTCTGCGGATAACAAAATAACGTCAGAATGACTCGGCTATAATCGGAACAAAATATTTCGAATGATATAAATTCGAATCGCGTTTAAACAGATTCGGAAAATCAATTTTCAATTAAATTTTCAATGGGCGAGTGTCATCGCTCTGTTCCGATAACGTTTTACCTAATTGGTGTGGAAAAATCGCAAAGGACTTCGCTCCAGTTTTTGCCGCATACGATTTCACCGTATCATCCTCTAAAAGGAAAATGGATGCCTCAAAGAATAGGTGTATGTACACATTATCTGGGAATCTAGCAGAGATAGGAAATAATACAATGGTTTTATTATTTTATATTTAGGGTGTTCCGAATTCACTTTGTAGGTGAGACAACCTATATTTTTGTTTTTAGATCTATTAGAGCTTCAGAGAGATCTCGACAGATTTGCTGATTATTTGGTATGGTATCTTGTTTAACATTACTTTAATAAGACTGCCTAGAAACCAAAGAGAATTTTTATTTTCTAATTCTTCTTCACCTTCGTAAGTCAGATCCGTCAAAGGTGTTTTTCTATTTCCGGATGGATTGAAGAGCCATGTGGCCGTAAGCAAAACAGAGGCAGCAGTGATCCATTATCAATTATCTTGTTTACACGAAACTTTTTTCTTGATCTTTACTCGATTTCGAGACGCCTAAAAGGCTACTTTAAAAAAAAAACTATCGCATCCTGGTTACTGCTCTTTTGCTGCCGACGGCTGCCCGCTTCAATTTCTTAAATCAATAGAAGCCGAAGCGACTGAACGGCTGATTAAAAGCAACACGGTCGGGAGGGTGCAATTCGATTAATTAAAACCCCGACGGTACTAGAAAGTCATTGTTTCCCTTGTTAAGTCGACTATCAATTGTAATGTCTCGCTTCGCAATTAAAGTGCAGTCCGCCACAAGGGCTAAATCCGAGTACAGATTGTCTCTAGGCGGTTTGTGGTATTTAGCGTCCACTACAATTAATAACGTCTACTGTTTCCGTGAAATATGGAGTCGCCAAATGCTGTAGATGGATAGATATAATAACAAGCTTATATCGGTAAGCTCAGAAATATAACACCCTTAATATTATCTTGACTTTTTGGCTCGATGGTGGATGCGGAGTCATTTGGCGGTTTTAATTAGTAAGTCGTAAGTGATTTGAGAAGGTAATAAGTGGTTAGACATATCTTAGTTGCGGTGTACCGCAACTAACATATTTAAATCATCTGTTTTGCTCTTTGGAAAGAGTAGGGATCGTTTGGTGTCTGAACTTAACATAAAAATGAGTGGCAGAGTTTTGCAGTTTACAAATTGTGCAAAAAATCTTGGCCTAAGAATTGTTGGTTAATATTTACAAAAGGGATAACACATATAGAATTGAGAGAGTACAAAAAAACTGTTTGCGTTTAATTTATGGTATAAGAAAATATGATCCAGTCTCACACAAATGCTGGATGCTGAGTGGTTGAACGTGCAGAACAGGCGTAGACTACACTCCTTGGTATTTTTTCACAACATTATTTTTAATAACGGTCCTCCTTACTTGACAAATAAAATAACATATCGGACAGATGTTCACAGGTTGAACCTTTGGTTTAGGGGTCTTATCTCTCCACACAGGACGTCTCTTTTTTAAAGAAGCTTCTCCTATTACGTTTACAAACTTTACAATACTTTACTTAAAAGCCTTATCACCATTAAACTTGTAAATGTTCAGCCAACAAGCAAATTGCAAGTGATTTTCGGGTAAGTTCAGTCCTAAAATTTTACAATGTTTAATTTTTATTATTTTTCTTTTTTTATTTTGCTATAGTTATCTCATGAGGCTCACTCCAAATCATTGGCATTGAAAACGGCATGGATTTGTGACTTTCTTCAAGCCAACCTCTCGACGTTCTTCAGCAGCTATTGCAGCATACTTTTGGCAACCAACTTTTATCTCGCTCATCGATAGAAAATCCAAAGTATAGCTTATAAGCTGTTATAGTATGTATTCCCCACAAATGTAGCAAAAACAATCTGAGGAATTTTTACAAGTCCGTGGCATTTTGTAACCTAAAATCACATAAAATTAATTTTAAAACAACTTTCAAACTTCTATTTTATATTTATTGATTCTACTTTTAAAAAAATACTCAAACTACACAACATGAACTTTATGCAAAACTTACTAAAATATTTGATTAAAAAGGTAAACAATTAAACGACAAGTTTTCACTGAACTGTTGCAGTGTCACAATGAATACTGCGCATGTGCGTATTTACTACCATAAAAATCACCTCCGGTACTTCCCTCCTTTCTCTTACAACTCTCTGAAACTCATTTTGAATGTATATTTACTTTTTGTAACGTTGACGAATGCCGACTCTATGTAGAGTGTTTCATTAAGGAAAGAAAGAAACGGCTTGTCTAATCCTTTGGAACGTTTTGTCCAGAATGAGCTACAAATATCACAAAGTAGGAAAGCGGCAAGTACCTATAGAATCGCAGATATTACAAAAACACGATAAAAGAATGACACTATGAAAGATTCTTCAGTTCCGTCTGCTAAAGGGGAAAGAGTTACAGTTTTACGTGAAGGGTCGGTAACCGATTGGGTCCCAAAAAATTTGCGGCTTATCTGGGATTGTCTTTTATCTAACGTTCCTCAGAATAGCGTTATACATAAGGTCGGAGTCAAATAATGGAAAGTTGGAAAACGTTTTCTTTTTCTCAAAGAAAGTTCCACGGGCTACAAAACTTCTGCATTCCTACGGTGTCGGTTGTTGTTGAATCTTACTTGCTGACGTCCCTCCAATCATCATGTTGGCTTCTTCAGAACTTAACTGAAACTGACTAGCATTCTACGCTGTACCTGCTAATATATTGTTTGAGGGAGGGGGAGCTAGAGAACGGGCATACACATTGTCTCGGATGACTGATTCCCATATTGGTGACTGAGTTGCGGTTAAGATTATTTGGTTGCTGGTATATTTCTATAGATTCTCGAAGTTTTCGCTGGTGGGAGGATTGATTACATGCAAGAATTTTAGTTTTACCAAATCAAATTTGATGCCCGGTTTATTTGTAGTAGTCTTGAAGCTCTTTCAGGTTTTGTGAGCCTTTGAGCTTCGGAACCAAATAAAATTCGAACAGACCTTTAGCGGTTTTGGGGAAATTAGCCTATGTTAAATAGTTAGTAGATGGCCTAAATTACCATGCAATAGATTTATGTGATAGGCAAGGGGGCTCAAAATATGCAGTTGTAGCAGTGAAAACAACAAAAATTAAAATTTCATTTTTCCAAATGCACATATTTTGCCAACCATTCTGAAAGACAATTTAAAACCCCTTCCAGTCAGGTATCTTGTTAGACTGAAATATTAAGGATCCCGAAATAAAATTATAAATTTACTTATTTGCTATATGTAGTAATATTTTTTGTACTAGTGGTTATAGTAATTTTGACCCTATCTGTAAAGCTCTGCATATAACCGACATTTTATGGGACGCGATTTAAATTTGTAATATTTAATTTCAATGTTTGTTCGATTCTGGTTGCATAATTCTACTTAATTAAACAGTGATCCGATTGAAATTTATAATAATGAATAAAACCATTTTTGAGTTGAAATATCAAACGCAAAATTCCCTTTGATTTGTGTTTTACAGAGTTTTTGGTTCAACATTAAAAAAATAACATAATCTTTTCGATCAATCATCAATCTAACAATATATCAATTACCTTTTTGCTTTTAAACAGTGAAATTATTCAATCGTAATTAACATTAATAACATTGTTCTGTAAAACGGCGTTCCAGGTTGAATTGTAAGGGGTGTTTTTGTTCGATGTATAGACCTTTAAGTTGCAATAAAACAACGATGGATTATTCGATTGACATGTTTTTGTTCGATGTATAGACCTTTAAGTTGCAATAAAACAACGATGGATTATTCGATTGACATGAATTTTATTTATCCGAAAGATAATCTTGTGGCATAAGATTTTAAATATGATTTCTGGCACATGACCGCCACGGCTGACGCGGATGTAGTCCAATCTGGACGTCCAATTTTCGATGAATCTTCCCAACATTTGTGGCCGTATATCGGCAATAACACGGCGAATGTTGTCTTCCAAATTGTCAAGCGTTTGTGGCTTATCCGCATACTTTACATAGCCCCACAGAAAGGAGTCTAGCGGTGTTAAATCACAAGATCTTGGAGGCCAATTCACAGGTCCAAAACGTGAAATTAGGCGGTCACCAAACGTGTCTTTCAATAAATCGATTGCGGCACGAGCTGTGTGACTGTTGCGCCGTCTAGTTGAAACCACATCTCCTGGACATCATGGTTATTCAATTCAGGAATGAAAGCGTTAGTAATCATAGCTCTATACCGATCACCATTGACTGTAACATTCTGACCATCATCGTACCAAGTACGGACTAATGATTCCACCAGCCTATAAAGCGCACCAATAAGTCAGTTTTTCTGGACGTAACAGTGTTTCGACATACACTTGAGGATTAGCTTCACTCCAAATGCGGCAGTTTTGTTTGTTGACGTAGCCATTCAACCAGAAGTGCGCTTCATCGTTAAACAAAATTCGCTTATGAAAACAACGGCAATCTCGTTTTGGGCCCATTCGACGAATCTATGCCTTGCTTGATGATCGTTTGGCTTCAATTCTTGCACTCGTTGGATTTTCCATAAAGTGGATGGACACAGATCCAATTCCTGTGCTCGATGGCCGATGGACTCAATGCTACGCTCTACAGCAGTTTCTTCTATACGCACCGTCTCTGGGGATGCGAGTTATCAATAAGAGTAAGCGTGGTGCGAAAACGTTCCATGGTTAATCGAATTAACTGCTCTGACGGACGATTTTGTCGACGATAAAATGGACGTAGTGCGCGATACGTATTCCGCACAGAACCATTATTTTCGAAATAAAATTGCACTATTTGCAAGTGTTATTCAGGCGTGAGTCTATTCATGATGAATTGCCAAACCA